AAGACATGAAACCTTGCTAAATCTGTTGGATAAACAAGTCTGGCACAGTTTTAATTATACGGGGATACATCAGTTGTTCATCCCCATTTAAGGGTGATATGGCAGTTGTCTTAAAGGCAAAGAACAAGTTCCTGTGAGACAAAACAGCATTCATAAAATGTAATCAACAGTGAAGCCTGCTGATGTCTTTATATGGCAAGGAGTAAACTCTGTTCTGTAGAGGCTCGTGTCCACGTCTGATAGTTCCTGCTATGAATGCCTGTCCCATTAGAACTGCCTCCTTCCTGAGGCTCAGGTGGTCCTTGGTACCAGTTCTTCTTCTTTACGTGGTACTTCTATGGTTCAACTCTGCTCAATGTGACGTTCCCTCGTTATTGCTCGAGAACCAGCTCTGCCCTTCAGAAATAAGTGCCAACTGCTATGCCATTGGTTCACTTGGTACCAGCATTGTTTTTTATTTCCAACTGATGGTATTTCCTCTGGCTGGGTTTAGGGGCCCAGGTACACAAATAGAAAGCAAGGCTGATTTTATAAGACTGGGAGTGTTTTATTGATACAAAGAGATGTTGCCTTTGACTTAAGTGATTTGAGGTAGTTTTCACTTGAAAAAATAAAAAAAACAAGGTTACACTGACATTCTTAACTTCCCTTTCATCTTATCTTCTATTAGAAAACATAATATGAACTTCCTTTTATGGGCAAAGGTGGTGTAGCCAGACGGTTGTTGTCTATCTACCAAAGATCAACCTGTAGAAGTAGAATGCCAATCCTCCTCTTTCTACTACTGTGATAGCAAACTATGTCCCCTGTACAAGAGTGCTTATCAGTATATATCATTGCTTGCCTATATATATATATATATGGGCCAGGGTGACCACTAAGGGTTTTTTGGCTGTCAAACTGAAACCGGAGTTTTTAGACCCCAAAACCAAACTCCAGGAGTTGTACATATTAGATCTGGCTCTTCAACCCTGGTGAAGGGCAAGAGGAAGATTTATTATGTGGCAGCCATAAGAAGCCAACACTGAAACACATCTTCCAGGTATGGACATTGGGCTACATGCTTACATAGATAGAACACTGGATACAGGGGGCAAAAAACATACATATAGGGTCCCACCCACTGGTTGGGCTTGGTGAATCATTAATGTAGTCCTTCCCATTGGGAAGGTTTCCAGAGAAGTTATTATTCCTACCATCACTGGGTGGGTAATCTGTCGTGAGAAAAGCCTCTTTTCTATCCATGTAATTTGCTTCCTCTCTGTTAATCTCCAGAGAATCATTTTTCTGAAAAGTTTCTGCTTTGGCCAGGTGGGTTGGCCCTTGTTAATTACTTTTTAGGTACATCCTTTTCCTGCTGTACTTTAATTAAGACATCCTATTAGAGCTGGGCATCGGTGGCTCATACCTGTAATTCTAGCTACTCAGGAGGCTGAGATTTGAGGATCGTGGTTCGTAGCCAGCCCAGGCAAAGAAAATCCGTGACCTTCTTATCACCAATTAACTACCAGAAAACCAGAAGTGGCACTGTGGCTCAAATGGTAGAGTGAGTACCTTGAGCTGAAAAGCTGAGGGACAGCGCCCATGCTCAGAGTTCAAGCCTCGAGACCGGAAAAAAAAATACATCCTATTAGAAGATTCTCGAATTGTACAATAATAGCGAATGCTTATGCATGTATGTCAGTTCTGTTACCTACTCATTCGGCTCATTTTGTCCTCACCTGTTGTACAAAGTAAATGCCCTTTATTCCATGTGAGGAAAATGAATGTGTAGAGAGGTTTATGTGACTTTACCCAGATTGCAGGGCTCAAAAGGGACAGAGCCAGGCTTTCATCCAGGGAGCTGAGTATCCAAGTCCACACCGTCTAGCCTCTTCTACCTGTCTTCAGGTAAGGAACACAAGGTTTACAAGTCTGGCTCCCAGACCTGGGTATACAGCAGGATCATGAGCATGAAAGGCATTTGTCAGGGTATATGTTCCTTGCTAGGTTAGCAAGACTATGGATTCTTCATCTCTGTGGCTACAGACCACATCAGGATCATCAGATAATTCTAAGCTGGTCCTCAGGTAGCAGAAATAGATGACCAATTTAGGGGAGACCCCGTGGATGCTTTTACTTCCTGGATCCATAAGCACAAAGCCAAGCCGAATCACATTATTGTTCCAACCATAGCCACCAGATTTTCAAAAGCAACAGTTAGGTCCACTAATGTAGATTTTAGCTGTAGAAGTCCTTTAGGGGGGCAAAGAGAGAAAGAGGAGGCAGAGTCCTCAGAATAATACAGACTGGAGAGACAGTCATCCTGTTGGCTTTTTTCCCCTTCTGGTTTCAATTCTGCAGTCGTTTCTGCTAACCTTTTATAAGGGTGGGGAAATAGGTCCATTTTTCATTCAACTAGGGAGTATATTCTGCATGAAGCAATCCTTTGAAGTCTTCTGTGATATACTTGAAGAAAAATGTGAAGACATGATAAAGACATTTAGGAGACGTGTAGATCTGAACCAGTTAGGGTTCCTCTTCCTTGTGCAATGTCTTGGCTGCAGACACAAAAAGAGAGAAGAAAGGAAAAGGGAAATAGCCATCTGGGGAACATTTCTGAGAGACTGAAGGGGGAAACTCTTGCAAATGAATTTGTACTTCCTAGAATGCTGAAAGAGCACTGAGGTTTTGTCTAATGCCTTCCAACTGGGCCCACAGAGGTTGGCCAGTGAGCATGCGTGTGCCCTTAGACTTCTTCCGTGAGCCTTCCATGCTCAGTACTTTCATGATGCTTCCATGGGTGAAGCCAAATGAAGTTCCCATTTGAACAGACAGGAAAATGGCCTCTGTATTTTAACGTGGGATTTGCAATCCCAATGCCTCCTAAAACCCCAAAGCAGAGAGGGTGGTGTAAAAGGGTCAAGGTGGCTTCTATCAGGTGAAACACTGAAATCCAAAAATGCTGCCTTATTTTCCTTCCATCAACCTCTTTGGCCGAAAGGCACCACGGCATTTTCCCCCGCACAAGAGAGTTTGTATGAAGGTCTAGCTTCCATATTGACAAGATAGATGGATTTTTCTAAGTTCTGTACTCTAATTCTCATTTATCTGTAGGCATTTCCCATCATCAGTATTGGTCCATTTTGGATCAAGACAGACTGATGATGTGAAAAGGGGGATTAAAAGAGGCTGGGCATGGTGGCAGATACCTGTAAACTCAGCTACCTGGGAGAAAGAAGTAAGAGGATCAAGGTATGGAGGCTGGCCTGAGCAAAAGCATGAGACCCTGAAAAACAAATTAAAATGAAAAGGACTGGGGTATGATTCAAGTTGTTTCAATCAGGTGAAGTTACTTCATAGCTATTGGTTATTGAGCGTATACATTGAAGTATGTGAAATAGCCACAAATATATCAAGTTATTAGTCTTGCTTCCAGATCAGTCTTTTCAAAGTAGAGCTCTGATGGTGTTGTTACCTTTCAGCTCTGTGAACTTCCATATCTGACCTTTCCTAATGAATTAAAGTTGGGTACCTTATTCTACCATTTAGAACCTTCAAAATCAGCTTGTCTCGTATATCTTTGAGGATTTCTGTCCCTACACTTAATTCGGGGCAGCCTGGACCCACTACTGACTTGTATCCTGTACATTGACTTGTGCTTTTGCTGACTTAGAACACATGTACTCTTGTCATGCTTGCTTCTATTCAGAATAGGTTAAACCTAATCTTCCCTAACTACAAGCATTATTTTTCTAAATCCAGAATCCTTATTTGCTCTAACTTTCCTATCAGGATCTCTTTATTAGCATCTGTTGAAAATGGACTGACTTCATTTTCATGTCAGTTTATTTATTTGCTATGGAAAGTTTACATTAGTGAACTAATATGGAAAAAACGATACTATTTGGCAACTATAAATACACCATAAAAACAAAGTCAATAAAAAATATATAGCAACATCTTCTAGTTGGGTAATTCTTGCCTGCGACATGCAATATCTTGGTTAAAGTGTTAAAGATTGGCAGCAAATTGTCTGTTGATATCAATAGGATGGGGGAGAAGGGAGAGAATAAACTGATTTTCTTGCTCTTTTATAAAGTGATGCTGAATCTATGCACCAATTAAATCATCCTTAGTATGTGCTCCACTTGAGGGAAAATGCCTTGCCCTTGACCTAGATTCACAGCTAAAAGGCAAGAAATCAATCTCATTCTCTTCACATCTGTGGCCCATGCAAGGATCCTCGGGCCTCTACACCACCCCACCTGAGAACACTGAGAGCCCTCCACAACCAGAGTATTGTAAGACAGGAAGAAATCTCTGATTTCTGCAGCACTAGCAATGGTTCTGCTTTCTCCAAACATCGGATAATGGGTTCTTCAAATCCACAGTCTTAGGATAAAGAAGGAGCTTTTTTTCTCCCCTCACATTGCATGGAGGATGACTGGAGGAGTTTTTCTGAACTTTTTTAAATTCACATTCTCGGTTTGTAAAATGCTCTCATGTTCTAGTAGAGCCTAGGCACTTTCCGTGTGTGTGTGTGTGTGTGTGTGTGTGTGTGTGTGTGTGTGTGTGTGTGTGTGTGTGTGTGTTTGCAGTACTGAGGATTGAATTTGGAGCTTTCTGCATAAAAATCAAGCACTCTACCACATGGGCCATGCCTTTAGTCCTTTCATATTTTTTTTAAATTTTGTTTTTGAGAAAGAAACTCTGTAACTTTATCCTCAAATTTATAGTCCTCAGCCTCCTGAGTGACTGGGATTTCAAGCATACCCCACTACACCCAGAAATTTACTCTTGAGTAAATTAATTTTGAAAATCAATCCATAAGACTTAGCTGCGCATCATCTGCCCTGCTTCTCTGCCCTGCCCGCTCTGCTCTCCTTTGAAGGAGAGAAAAAAGTGTCAACTGCCCTTTCCTCCCTGGCTGCCTGTAAACTCCACAAATGGGAATTTGACTCTAGCCCTGTCCTGCCTCTGATTTGAGTTGTTCATTCATGCTCTTCTTCCTTCCCCAGGCGGTGCTGAGCCCTCTCATCGCCATCGCACTGAAAATATCCCAGATTCACGAGAGAACAGGTCGCAGAGGACCTACTGTCATCACCTGAGCGGAGAAGGGAAGATCTCCCACCAGGGCCAGAGAGTGCTCAGCAGGAGACGCCTCCAATGCCTTCTTGCTACCTGTTGTGCCTCTTAGGACTTGGGAAGAACAAAAGTTCTTTTACTCTTGGGGGGTGAAAGGGTGGGTGGGAAAAGAAAAAATAACTTTTGTTTTGATTTGTTCAGTTCCTCTAAATGCCTCCTACCATAGTTGCCTTTGAATCTCACTCTCTGTATTTTATCACGCTGAGGGGGTCTTCCTTTTCAAGAAAAAAAAAAAGTGAGCTAGGTGGCTGTCATGAGCACAGGTTCCATAATTATGAAAGATAGAAGTGACAGAACTGTGGGCCCCAGGTAGGCTACACACACACACACACACACACACACACACACACACACACACACACACACACACACACACACACACACACAGAGGTCAGGTCCACAATGGGACAAGGTTTTAGATCTCATGGCCTGCCTCACTGCCAGCAGCTGCCCCATGACCAACATCCCCCAGCCTACCTTCACCTTCAACTTCTGCCAATCACAATGGCACACTTCCAATGAGACATATCAAAGGGTGTTTCTCTCTCTTACTGTAGAAGTGATATTACTTTACCTCTCAAAGCCACCTTTGTCCTTGCAAATGTAACCATTTACTGGGAAGCTAGCGAGGAGACTGTGGAGGAGACGAAATGAATGCTTACATTGGTAGTGAGCAGGGAGGGAGTCCCTTGATTACAACACATAGGTTGATACGTGAGTTGGTACAATTCCTTTTGAGAAGACAAAAACACATGTGTGCACTAGCTCTGACTTACCCACTGAGGCCTATTTGCATGCACTAGTTTGGATGTAGTTCTCATCTTACTTGCAATGCCTAGAAAGGAAGAGTGGAATGCTGGGAAAGTAGGAAGTAAAGTGGTACTGGAAGGAAATGTGGGAGAGAATGGCTGGATAAGAGGGAAAGAAATATTATGGAAGAGTATGGCCCAGTGAGCAGAGGCAGAGGGCCACATTGGCTTTCTTTGCCTAGGAAGGAACAAAGGCTCTTAGAGCTCCAGTAGGCCCTTCTGTCCTGGGGCAAAAGACTAGATCATGCGACGTGTTTGCATATGTTTTGCTTCCTTGGGAACAAGCATGCTCACCACGTCATCTATGGAGATGACCTACTGCACTTTGACTGTTAAGCAATGCCTTATTGCTGTAGTCAAGGTGAATCCAAGCAAGGCAACATTCCCAGCAAGGTATTCGTTTCTATTTTCTGTCTGTGCTCTGTCAAGAACTTGCTAGGACATTTTAGCAGCAATAAAAAAAAGAAAGAAAGAAACTCCTTTGTTTTAACCTTATTTGAGGATTATGGGTTGCGACTCATTTCATTTTGTTTTACCACTTGATTGACTTCATTAGTAGCCAGTTGTGCTGAAAAATCTGCCTTTCAGAATACTTACAAGGACTGTTATTCATTATGATGACCTAGGGAATTTATTGAATAGATGGAAACAAGAAAGGTGAATTGCTCAGAATTGTCTTTGGGAGTCAGCAAAAATTAAAATGGCATCTAGACTTTCATTGTAACAGTCTTTATTTCAAAACAATAAGAAGCCGGCTTTGAGCTGAGATTATAAGGAACCACATAGGGGATGTATTGCCAATGGAATAAAACTTGCTTTATAGATCTGATTCTGGTGATCTCTCAAGTAAAAGACCCTGATAACCATCCATTTATTAATGGTGGGGTGTGCTAGCTAGAACACTCTGACACATTTTTAGGCTTATCAGCTCTACATAGGTAAGAAAATACTTATTTTTTTCCTCAAGTTGCTAAACTTTTAACCACTTGTAACTTTTAAGTCCAAATGTAAATTAGTTTAAACCTGATTTCTTTTTAAAAAGCTGGAGTCGTGTGCATTCAGTAGCTCAAATATATATTCAGCTACCCATCCATTCATTCACTTAGCAAAGTAAGTAACTACTTCAGGAAGACGTCTATTTTAAGAACAGAAGGAAGATGGAAAAATCTTGTTTCATGCTTTTCTTGAACTTATAATCATGGAACAAGCATTCAAAATAATCATGGAGACACAATGTACAAGCATGGAGCTGCTGTGAAAATACAGAGAATGGAAATTAACTCAGAGGTGGTGGAACACTAGGAATAAAAGTTTTTCTAAAGAGTAAGGTTTTGAGACTTTTTTCACACAATTTTTTAAATTCTAGCAGAGGTGAATGAAGCAAAACCCAGCAAGATCAGTCATTGACAGCTAGAACCTGTGGAGAGGAGGTTGGCATTGGGTCTGGTGGGAGGTTGGCTTAGGTGGTTGGAGTTAAAACAGACAGGGTTATGAACTCAAGTGGAGACAAGATGCACAGTCACTTGCTTACAGAGGTTTTTCTCAGCTCTGTTGTCAAAGAGAAGGTCCTCCAGAGCTTCTGGGATTCAGCCTGTCTCTGGAACTTGCCCAGCTTCCTATTGCTGAGGTACCATTGCTGCCTGCGTTCAGTAAAATCCAAGCTTCTCTTGCTGAACTCTAAACCAATGTCCTTATTCTCAAAAGAGGTAAAAGCTAGGAAGTCACCTTTCCCCACAGAAAATTCCTTATGTTCTTAAAAGGGGAGCCCTAATCACCAGCTGTTAGGAGTAAATGATTTGGACCTAGGCTCATGCCTGTGATCCTATCTACTCAGGAGGCTGAGATCTAGAGGATGGTGGTTTAAAGACCAGGCAGAAATATGTGTGAGACTTAAGTCTCTAAAATCATCAGTAAAACAGCTGAGCTGGAGATGTGGATCAAGTGGGAGAGCACCAGTAGATCAAAATGTGAGGCCTTGAATTCAAACCTCAGCACTGGTCAGGTAGGGGGAATTAAATGGCTTCAGAGGTTCAAGGATATTGTGGGAAGAGTGTGGTGATGTCAGGTGGAACTGGTGATCTTCAAACATTGAGAGGCCTCCAGAAAATGGCAAGCTACCATATGCATAATCAAGTGGCTCTCCATAAGCTAGACCCCAGCACCCAGGCAGGGTTATTTGGACGTGGCTGTATATGTTCCCATGGAGGCCTTAGTGCAAGGGATCAAGGACTCTTCCAGATGTCAGTCAGTTCCCTCAAACAAAACATTATTTTGCCTTACCCAGCATTCTTGAATTTATTGACCCGCCCCCCGCCTCTCCTCCACACCAATGGGCAGCTGTTATTAAAGTGAGGTCATTGTCCAAGTCTCTCTGACCCAAGGTGCAGCATATATCCATGGTATTTGTGGGACAAAGAGTGTTGCATGGCATTGCAGGATCAAAAGCTTGGATATGACATCAATGCTTTCTGAACAGGAAATTTCAGATCAAGGCACAGTCCGATGGCGGCACCTTGGGCTAAGAGTAGATGCTCTGTGCCATCACAGGGACAATGGTATGCTCACGTCTAATTGGCCATTCATGGAAAGTGTGAGATTTTTGACAGCTAGAGCCATTAGCTATGGCATATTGGGGGAGGGATTTGAAATGCTCTTGTGGGAGCTGGTAAGGACATAGCAGGATGACCCCATCTATCCCACTGCTGAATCTTGTCCTGGGTACTCTCAGGACAAGTGGCTAGTGAGATATCAAGCACTTACATGGAGTAGCTTCCACGCCTGACAAACTATGTGCCTTAAAACAATGATGTAACTTACTGGTAGATCAGCGTTTGGGCCTTCAACAGCTACAAACAGCAAAGAGATTATCCAAGGCAACAAAGCTTAGCAGAATGACTGTTCCAGTCCAACCAGCTGGAGTCCTTACCCATAGAACTCATACAGTTAACAGTTCACTGGTATGCGAGTCAGCCTGGATGGTCATAGAACTTTCTAGAACACAATGAAGATATGGATCACAAAGTTATGACTTTATCATCTTTCTCTATCCTTTAGCATGTGCCCTGCAATGTAGGGGAGCTGGAACAATGCTTCATCAAAGGAAATATATTTAAGTAAAATCTTGGAAGCATAAATTGAGGTGTCAGAGAGATCACTTAAGAGTTCTTGCATGGAAAGGGTCAAAAAAAGAACCCAGTATACTTGAAAAAGAGGCTGCATAGTTTGTTCTATTTCTGACCTTGACATTCTTGTCCTCTGGTGCTGTGGTGACTATTTAAAGTAGCTGCTAAAGGGAACAGTGTGGGGTTATAATACTGGAGAGCCATCGACTCTGAAAACTTCCTCCAATCCCAGTGGATTGGAGCCCGCCATTCTTAAGTGAGAGGAAGATTGAGAGGAAGAATCTCATTCATAGAGACTTCTCTCTTTCCATTTTCTCAGCATTCATGGAATTAGGCTTTTCAATTCATCACCATAGGTTGAGAAGGCTGGCAAGGTACCATACCGGCCTCCTCCAAATGACTTTTCCAAGGAATGACCAATGTATTATTATCCAGATAGGACCACATTGTCTGCTTTGTCCAGTGGGTCTTAATAAATGGACCTAGCAAATGTAGCTTGTATGACTCCACTATTGCATATGTTAAACAAAATTATCAAGTGCCTTTTAGTATTTGTCCTAACAAGAAGTTCCTAAAGTTGTTTATTTTCCCCTTGAATTGTTCACCGGTGTTTGAAAGAGGAACTCAACACTGTTAGTTTCATATGATGAGACTTCAACTTATAGTCTTGTATTAATGTTTTTCCAGATGCAAAAATATAATGGCAAAAAGGAAAGTTCAAATACACAATGTATTGCCATAAAGAGATTTAACAATTTCTCATTCAAAGCCTGCATGTCCAGAACCACGTGAAATGTGAACGATCGTCGGCAGTGTTATCTGGACGGAATCATGGGACTTGGAGGAGGGAGGCTGGGCCTCTGTCGCATGGAGGCCCTGTGGTTGCTTGACTTGTGTATCTGTGGATACATTATCCAACTGAGGACTCTGGGCTGGCAGGGCCTTCTGCCAGAACAGCTAGAAACACTAGATCCTTTCTGTATGAGTGTGACCAGTGAGATGGCTGTTGCTGACTTTAGAGAAATTTTAATAAATCTGGTTTCATAAAAAAAATAATTTCTCATTCAAGCCCAAATTAACATTTGTGTCACATGACTCCCAGTAGTTGAAAACTCTATTACACGTGTGCACTGGGTAAAAGCCCAGTGATATCGCTATTAGATGCTTAGACCCCTGGGAAAAGACCTCAGAGGAGAGAACGAGATGACAAGAGAGGAATTACAAATTGCATTGTTAATAAATTATCACCTTCCTCTTGGGCAACTGTGAGTGACCTGTATATCTATTGTATGCTCATGGTTGAAGATTCAAACCACAGATTCCCAACTCTGTGCTTTGGGGACCTATGTATTTGTCAGGATGTATTTAATCAGTGCATGCAGCAATGATGGGGAAGAAAAGGCTGCAGAGACCTGATCTCCATCTTGACAACCCTTTCGGTTGCAAGGTTGCAACCTTCCCTCCCTGTCTGAAGCCTCACCATGGCTGTCATCCGTAAGGGCACACCCTTCACCATCCAGTAATGACCAGATGCAGGAAAGCTACACTGGGAGGTAAAGCAGGTTCATCTGCAGCTTAAACACAAGGCTCAGTAACCTTAAAGCTTCCTCAGCTGCCTCTCCCAGGGCTTGAAGTTATTGCAGCAATCTAAGGTGTCATGTTGGGGTAGGGCCTATTTCCTGAAAGAGGAGAGAAATCCAGACTGCTCTGTAGAAGGAAGGATGGAAGACAGACAAGACTGAAAAATAATAGAATTAGAATGTTAAAAGCCAGCCTAGCACCAACATTTGCAGTATGTAGGTCCTCTCATGTTCGTCGCTGGAGATTTCTTCATTTTCCTGGATGTCACTGTGGATTATTGGGAAGGCTTTGTAACTTCTCAAAGAATAATTTTCCTGAATCTATCCAATGGAAGGGTCGGAGCTCTTATTTTTTAAAGGCTAAAACGAGGGCCCAGGAATGGGCATGGAAGGCGACACCACGGAGTCTGCCGTGTAAGAGGGATGGCTGGTAAGTCACTAATCCAACATGAACACCTCACTGCTAGGGGAGGAAACTGAGGCCCAGAGAGAAGACTATCCTCATCCAAGTTCAGAAGCATCAGACTTTCCAGCACACTCCACCTGGCTTGTCTTGTTAGTCTAAAAATGCCATAAAATGCAATACAGCTGAAGAGGGGGGATCGGGTTTTAAAAACAACTATCCCAAGTCTAGAAGTATCTTGAGATCTAAAGAATATGCCTAAGAATAAAAGTCTGTCATTAAAGTTTTTTTTTTTTTTTGTCAGTCGTGGGGCCTGAACTCTGGGCCTGGGCGCTGTCCCTCAGCTCTTCAGCTCAAGGCTAGCGCTCTACCACTTGAGCCACAGCACCACTTCTGGCTTTTTCTGCTTATGTGGTGCTGAGGAATCGAACCCAGGGCCTCATGCATGCAAGGCAAGCACTCTACCACTGAGCCAGCTTCCCAGCCCCATGTCATTAAAGTTTTTATTTTCCAAAATCCTCAAGGTTTACAGGAGAATTATCAGAAATATATATTATATATAAGCATCTTCAGAACATATATATATATATATATATATATACATATATATATATATTACCAGATTGCATCATGGATACCATTGATGGCTTATAAAATTCTCCCCCACCTCCTAGTTCTGTGCCTTAATAATTAAGTATGCGTTCAGTTTGGATTTGTAAGGAATTTTTTTTTATCATATCTGCTTGCATGAAGCCCTCCTTTTGATTTGTTTTTGTTTTTTTTTTTTTTGGTCCGGTCGTGGGGCCTGAACTCTGGGCCTGGGCGCTGTCCCTCAGCTCTTCAGCTCAAGGCTAGCGCTCTACCACTAGAGCCACAGCGCCACTTCCGGCTTTTTTCTTTTCGCTTATGTGGTGCTGAGGAATCGAACCCAGGGCCTCAGGCATGCAAGGCAAGCGCTCTACCACTGAGCCACCTTCCCAGCCCCGAAGCCCTCCTTTTGAAATGACTCATGCAACATTGTGCATTTGAATCATTTTGAAGACAAAAACTTCAGTCACTTCCATAAAACAAAAAGCACACATCATTAAAAGAAAAGAAGACAAAATAACATTCATGGGTTCCAAGTCACAATGGGAATCACTGGGTCATTCTGGTGATGTCATCCACTTGGAACATTGCGAAGCCAGCCTCTTACACACATCCCTTCAGGAATTCTAGGGAGCGTGCATAGAGGGCTGTGACTTGGTCCAGCAAGCAGCAAGTGTTCTTCCCGGTTGGAGCTGAGGTAATGAGAAACAAGACATCTAGCCTCTTGGTGAGTGGGTTTATCCTTACACCAATGTGGTTCCCTGGCTCTCCTAGTGGGACCCCTCTGAAGAGTCTGTCTGGGGCTAGCCACACCCTAACACAGCTTTCCTCCCCAGTCCCTGGCCAGTTTTTCTTTAGCAGGGTATGTCCTGCATGCTGGTTTAGCAGTGAGCCCCCCTCCCTTCAGCACTTCAGCCTGGCCTCTCAGCATCCTCTGACATCCACTACGGATTCGTGGTAGGGTGGTGGGGCTTCTGGACCAGCATCACTTCCATCCTCAAGTTCAAGGCCTGTCTCTGTGTACAGAGGTGGAGGAACATCCAAGGCCTGTCCCTCTGCAAGATGAATCTGTTTCTCGGCATCCAGGCTCTCTTCATAAGCTGGAGGGTAAAAGTGTGGCCTGTGGGACAAAAGCACCAAATGCATACATGTGTTATTTAGGTATTTATGCCAGAGAGGCATATGTTTGCCTTTCAGCTCACACTGCGTGAAGTTAAACTGCTAAGAAACATAGATCTTTGAAACAGATGTACTTCTTCCCTGGCATGGGAAGCATCCTCTTCCTAAAGAACCCTCTGTCTGCCACAGCATGTATTCCTTCCATCCTAGTGTCTTGTTTGTTTGTTTGTTTGTTTGTTTTTTCCTAGCTGGTGTTCCAGGCTGTGTCTTCCCTTCCTCCACTCCTGGAAATGGCCATTCCTTAGGAAATCTGTATCTGCCACGAAGTCATTAAGGAACTTGGAGGCTTTGATTATGTTTGACTATGGAACCTCTGCCTGGTACTCAGTCCCTTCCCATCCTTGTTTCCCCTTCGCAGATGCCATCTCCTACCCCAACTCACTCGGCATCTCAGATCTTCACAACGAATATGATCATGAATGGAAGCCAGCTAATTGCAGGTTCCTGAACCACATCAGGATGACACCACTTTTTCCCTGACTTTTCTACCACATTTTTTTTGTCCCACCAGTTTTCGAGAGAACACCCAAATGCCTTTCCTGCCTCAAAAGTGGGGGTGACTCTATGCACATTTCCGCTGCAGCCTCTCTGGGCTGAAGGCCTGTGAGGAAAGGAATCATTCATGACGAGGGCTGGTGGATTTGTTGATCATCTTACCCACTGTCGCTAATTGTTAAATCCTCTGGCTTCTTCATCATGAATGGGGTTCAGGGGTGAGGAAGAGGTGAGGAAGACAGATGGGGAGAGCTTAGTTGAGATATGTATTTATAGAGTGAGTCCATCCAGTGCCTACAGGGAGTGTTTATGGTGTGTAACCACAACAAAACAAGAGATTGCCACTTGGAGCCACGGCTCCATTCCAAATGTTACCTAGGCTGACAGCCAAATAGCTGAAGGCGCTGTCTACTGTACAGCATAAATCTCAGCCTTCACCTGGAATAGCCAAGGCTGAGTCATGGGAAATATGTGTCAAGTCACTGAGGATGGAAAGGTGAGCTGTTGGAGTCACTTGAGAGACTGGAGAATGACTCATGCCGTTAGCCCAAATGCCAGCCATCTATTGCTCCCAATCCTCCACAGTCTGGTTTGTATTCCCAGAGGAATGCTATTCTGAATTCCATCACAGGACAAACGTGTGCTCTGAACTCTCTACCTAGGTCCCCATTTTCAATGCACAGGCTTTGAGAAATGTCACTTCCTAGTTTGAATGTGTAGCCGTTGTATGTGGACTGAACATCTCAGAATATGGGAGGAAGAGGCAGTAAAATGGCGCTGGTGTGACATCTACAATTTCCCTCCCATTCTTCCAGCCACAAGTGTGTGATCTTATGCACGTTACTCTAATCAGGAATTCCAACTCATGCACTCATATAAACACACACACCCATCATCATCATCATTGTCATCGTCTCTCTGGAAGCATCTTCTACAATCACTCCAGATATTTTAATTTCTAACGAAACCTAAAGACCTTGTGAGTTTTGTTAGACTGCTTGTTGTAAATTAGTATCTTAGTAATTAACATAATAAATGTTAGCTATTTACCACTATGGGTAAGATTACTTGTATTCAAGGTACATAATAGCTAAAACATGTTAGATACTCTCTATTTTTGCATGAAGAGGGCAAAGAATTTATGGATTTACAACTTATACTTTGACAATGCTAACTAGGGTTTTAATCCATAAATTGTCCTGAATTTGGCCAAGAATTAGGAGGTTTGTTTTTAGCTAAATTATAATTATGTTAACTAAGCTTCCTTTGTTCTTGTGATATATATATATATATATATATATATGACTTAAAATTAATTATTGTAAGTATCAGTGTTACCAAGTTCAACCATCACCAGAAGTTATTCATCTCCCAAACAATACTCTACTCACTAAATAACAACTTTTCATTCTCCCCTTCCAGGCCCCTGTCTTCCTCCTCTCTATGGATTTGACTACTTTAGCCAGATTAGATTCATACAATTGTCATTTTTGACTGGCTAGGCTCACTTCGCATGGTGTTTTCAAAGTACATTCATGTTCTACTCCATGTCAGGATTTCATTCCTTTCTACCACTGGGTAATATTCTAGTATATATTGCATTTGGTTTATCCATCATCAATGGACCTTTTATCATCTTGCCTTGAATGAATCTTTCATGCAGGATGACATCAGAACACTTTAAAGGAAGGCTTCTTAGTCACACTGGTTGTAGGACTGGTTTGATATCTGCTTGCTCCTTTGTTGTGGGCAGACTTTAGCCTGGAACTTCACTTTCTCTCAAGTGTTAATCATCACCTGTCTATAACAGCTCCACCTTTCCACGACATTAAAAAAAAGAACCTAGACACTGGCCTCCTTGAGTTAGCTTATGCAGGTTTTTACTAGCATAGTGGTAGTGGCAATATTGCTAGAAGAAAATGTCCCTTATCTCATATAATTTTCCCCAAAGATAGCCCCATTCTTCCGAATAACCAACCCCAGAGTGATGGACCTTTCCATACCTTCCCATCTCAGCCTCTCGCATTGCCTCTGCCTTGTAACACATACCTGTCGACTGTATCCAGGGGCAGGTCCCCCCGGCCAAGATATTGTCTGAGCATGTGGCTGAACATCCCTTTGTTGTTACTCGCTTGGCAGTAGGTGCTCCAGAAAACCCCACTCAGGAGGATCACAAACCCCAGAGGCAGAAGCAAGTAGGCCATGATCAGGGTCCTCTGGCAGTGGATCAGGGAGTCTGCAGAGATGAAGAAGGCTCCCAGGCAGATCATCAGGAACCCTGTCAACAAGGCCAGGGCACTGAGAATTAGGCCAGCTCTGTTCTGCATCCCTGCTCCTCAAAACCTTGCGCCCTGACCCTGCCACTCCTCTGCTTCCAGGCTTGTTGAAGCAGAGTGTGCTCATTAGCCAGTGTGCACAGCCTTATACGCCCGCCCAGGGACCAAATGGCCTTTGGACAGTTAAATGAAGCAGGCACAGGGAAGCTATTCATTAACCATTGAAAGTTACTGTAACAGCCTTTCAGGGTGAGCCTAGAAATCATAACATTGCATCCTGCAAGAAGAGGGTACTGCATGTAGCTGCTTTGTTCCTTGCCAGTGGGTGGGACCCTCAGCTGCTCCCAGGAGAGGGGTTTCTAGAGGTCCTGGTCTCATAGTCCTCACCTTGGGCGATTCCCCACTGAAAGCTGGGGAAATTAGCATGCCTCCATGAACCACCACCTCCTTTGTGGTAGCAAGGAATGCTTTCTTGATTGCCTTCTCTCCTTCTTTATTAAAGTTGTGTGTGTGTGTGTGTGCCAGCCAGGTTGGGGGCTTCAATTCAGGACTTGGGCACTGTGCCTTAGCTTTTTTCACTCAAGGTGAGGCTCTACCACTTCTGGATTTTTAGCAATTAATTGGAAATAAGAGTTTCATGGACTTTCCTGCCTTAGGCTAGCTTCAAAATGTGATCCTCAGATCTCAGCCTCCTGAGTAGCTAGGATTACAGGCGTGAGCCACCATTTCTTTAAGGCTCTGAGAACCTTTGTCTTGCCTTCTGATGAATTGCTCATGCTCTGATAGCAGAAAAAAGTCCAAGAGAAAAGTCCATGGTGAACATTCTTTGATTCCTTCTGTTGAAAAGATGAGTTTCACAGGAAGAGGGAGCTGGGAAGAGTCCTGGGGTGGGAATGGAGGGGGGGGGGTTCCTAGAGATGGGTATAAAAGAGGTGGCTGCTGCTCTGATTTTGGTTTTGAATCTTGCAGACCCACAGACACATCTGCTCACACTTAGATGTTTGTGCATCACTGTTCTATACACTTTAGTCCCCTTTGATGCTTCAAAAATATGCAATATTTAGCCAGTGAATGTTGTGTATATTCCTGTATTCCTAGCTATGCAGGAAGATTGTGGCTCAAAGCCAGCTGCAGCAAAAAAAAGTCTTCAAGACTTTATTTCCTAAATAATCTGCAAAAAGCTGAACCTGAGGCAGGGTTCAAGTAGTAGAGCACCATCTGAGCAAACAAGCTAAGCAAGTATGAAATCTTAAGTTTTTTTTTTTTTGGGTCCGGTCGTGGGGCCTGAACTCTAGGCCTGGGCACTGTCCCTAGGCTCTTCAGCTCAAGGCTAGCGCTCTACCACTTGAGCCACAGCGCCACTTCCGGGGTTTTTCTTATGTGGTGCTGAGGAATCGAACCCAGGGCCTCGAGCATGCAAGGCAAGTGCTCTACCACTGAGCCACCTTCCCAGCCCATGAGATCTTAAGTTTTAACTTAAATACTGACCAAAAAAAAAAAAAAAAAAAGAAATCAAGGATCACTAAAACAATGACTTCTAGTTTTTAAAACTTTTTGTTACTTGGAGCTTCCTTACTATTTGTGGTGTGTGCTCTCTTTTCTTAACAGTTATTAGCAGTAAGAAACAACCAACCAACCAGTTTTTGGAAAATAAATTAAAATGAGGTATGAAATATCACACACTGAGAGAAAGCCCCTGTACTTCAGACATTTGGAAGAAGTAGAAGAGACCCAAGAAGAAGAGTAATAGTAATGACAGAAGAGAACAACCAGATCTCTGTAGCTAAGGAAGAAATTTGAAAAATCTAATAGAACAACATCAAGAAGATGCCTTAAGTTTCAGGAACTTCTGGCCCTTCATCCTAGTTTTCTGTCTTCACACTATCTTCTGGATCTGACTTCTCTCCCAGGCCAGCTCTCCTGCTTTTCCCTTGCTTGCTTCTATTCAGCACTGATCATTGATCATGTAAAGATGGGAAACCACAGGGAGAAACAGATGACTCTTTCAGTTCACATGTGCAGCATAGCACTGATGGGAGGTGCCCTGGGAGGCATCCACACTGCCCCCTTCCAGAGAGAGCTGTGCTGAGAGCCCGTGGAAGCAATCCTACCCCCTACTCCACCCTATTCCTATGTCCTCCACTGAAGAAACAATACTTTACATTTTCAGGGGCAAGAGTCAGTTGTCAGGCTTGAACTCAGGGCCTGGGCACTGTCCCTGATGCTCAAGGCTAGCTCGCTCTACCACTTTGAACCATAGAACCACTTCCATTTTTTTCTCAGATCTCAGTGTCCTGAGTAGCTAGGATTACAGGTGTGAGCCACCAGCACTAGGCTAATCCCTTACTTTTAATTCAACCTAGTACTACTTCTTAGAAATTCACAAATTTAAAAAAAAAACAACAAGGTTTGACTTGGTAACAGGAAGTAACAAGTTATTTGACTGTCAGCCAAATGTCTGAACACATAATGACTCTTTCAACACTTCTAGGAGCAGGACAGATCCACGAGCACTGTTCTGAACATTATGTGCAGCCAAGTTCCAGGCACTGTTTGGTCTTCCTGTTCATGTTAGAGCCCCCTGAAACTCACCCTTTAAAATAAAAAAAAAACCAACTTTCCAGTTGTAGGGTCTTGGAACTTCCCACAGCCCTCCACACTCCAGTTTCTGTTTACTATGTGGGTGGGCCTATGCCTTTCTCTTGGAAACAAGAAAAGTCTATTTCCCTGAAGAGAGTTCCATGAAGGACTTCAGAAGGCAGCTAGTGGTGTAGGGCGGGGGAAGGGGGAAATGGGGCCAAGCACTGGCAGAACTGCAGGTTTCAGGAACTGAGCTGAGGCTTTGTGGAAGGTGAGAGAGGTGAACATGTTCTTAAGAGAAGATGCCACGCAGTCTGATCTCATGGTGGTGATTACTGAATGATTTCTGGATTAGCCTTTCACACTTGAGGGTTCATTGAGCACTGGTTCACTTCCTCCTCCTCTCCTCCTCCTCCTCCTCCTCCTTCTCTGTTTTTTTTTTGAATCTTTCCTTTTACCTTCTCTTCCCCTTCTTCCACCAAGAAGACTAAAATAAAGGGATTTTTTTTGAGGTCGATAAAGGACAAACCAATCCTCAGAAAAGGTACAGCGTGGTAAGGTTAAGCCCACGCTGGGTGACATGCAGACAGAATGGTGCTTATTAGCCATGTCAGTTCCTTCCTCAAATCTAAGAGATTGTCATGGAAGGTCTTGTGGAATGACCCTAGCCATCTCTCTTGCCTGACCCTCCTGGCCTCCCATCTGTGTTGTTTGTGGCATCTCAACTCACTTGAAGATGTTTACTTTCTGGCAACTCTGACTTTCCTCATCTTTTTCAGTACCAATTTTCTCTTAGACGCTGAAGTCATAGGAGACTTCCTTGACTCGAATAAAACCAGTAATGCACAACGTAACTGCAATTACTTGGTTTTATTTTTGTTGTTGTTGTTGCTGTGTGTTGGTCATGAGGCTTAAATCTGGGCCTGGGTGCTGTCTCTGAGCTCTTTTCTCAAAGCTAGTGCTCTACCACTTTGAGCCCCAGCATCACTTTTTGGTTTTTGTGTGGTCAACTGGAGATGAGTCTCAGGGGACTTTTCTTCCCGGGCTGGCTGCAGACTGTGATCCTCAGATCTCAGCCTCCTGAGTAGCTAGGATTACAGGTGTGACTTTTTTTTTAAAAAGTTCATTTGGCTAGCTGTAATTTTATTTCTTTAAAATTATACTTGATAACCTGAAGGCTGACTGTTGCCATTTGAAATGTTCCAGCATGTTTGGACCTGTTGTTTTGCAGAATAAGTACTGTGAATTTCAGCCGAGGTTCATGTGTGTAGTGGAAGCTTGTATCTTTACTAGGGGGTCTGACTTTGCCATTCATTTCTCAGAATGATCCTAGCAAATCAGATCCCATAGAGAATCAGATCCCTATAATGACCATTCCTTATGCTGACTTATTTTCTCTCTGTTAGTCAGAACACACATTTACAGATGATCTTCCCATACTCTTTGATTTCTATTCAGTATTTATTTATCTTTTCCACACCCAGGGCCTATAATGCCAGGGCTATAGACAGTCAGAGTCAGCAGAACCACCATCATTGAGTAATAGAGGTCTTGCTTACTTTAATTTTTCATGCCTTCAACAGGTGCATGCCCACAGGGGCTATCAATAAGCCCCTTGTCCTTGGTCTCCTTTGAAGTTGAACATTTAAATGAGGTTTCTCCAGTTACTGCTTTAATTAATATGGTTAAATATTACAGTGTGGTTGACCCCTGCCTCCCTAGCTCTACTTTGATGACGTACTTCTGTCTTGTGCTGAGAAGCCTGCTGATCAAGGCAAGCTGGAGAGGTAGAGAGCAGAGAAAGCGATGTGTTACACTTTAATAAAAAGCAATCACACATTCTCCCAGAGAGTTAGCTTGGGACAAACTATGATGATTCATATACTATGTTTCTATAAAATCCTCGAAGACCAAATCATATCTGTATCTTCTCTTCTTCACCAACCAATACAGTAGGCAAGGAAGACAGACTCCTGCTTGCTGTGACCATTCTTCTTTACTAGCTAAGCTGGTCACAGCCTCCTTTCCAGGAGCCGGGGTTTTGGTAGCACTTCTGTCTCTTGTCAGCCCACGTTGCTAGGAAGGGACCAGGGCACATAGCCAGTGTGCTGCCACCCATGCCACTGACCAGATGCAGAGGTAAGGCAAGCACTTACTCCTCCAACAGACCACCAGTGGCTTCTGCTAGTAGAACAAGTTCAAGCTGTTCTCAAGCAGGTCAGGCCTTTGGGAGACAGAGAAGGCAGAGGGACTGCTGTGCCTTCCTGGCTCTTGGAATGACATCTGTTGAGCTTTCTGGAAAACCTCGAGGGATATCATTATTAATGTTCTTAGTGGTCACTTGGCTTTGCCTATTTTTGGTTCATCTCCAGGTAAGATTTCATGTGGAGACTCTCTCATTCATTTCCTCTCCTTACTTTGCCCTTCCATTTTGGCCTGCATTCCTTGCCTCCCTCTTTTCAGTTGGATTTTTTTTTTTAGCATTCCTAGTTCTTGACACATGCATCATGCATAAAAGCAATATTCTACTCATCCCATCACAGTTTCGTTTGAACTCCTGTCCACACTTTCACAGAG